TGCAATCCATGAATAGGAAATAAATAATGAATGAAAAATATTATTCTTATTATTGTGAAATTGTTTTATTTTATTGGCAAGCCATGTTTGTTGGCTTAGTTTTGGTTGGCTTAATTCATTAATGTTAATTAAAAATATGCACGTGTACAAATTTTATGAAACATATGAAACAGTGGATAATTTTTTGGTTTGCATTAAAATTTAATTGGCTACTGAAATTACATAAAAGCTGATCGTTTAGATCACAAGTCCATTGGGGTGTTATAAAATAAATTAAAGTCGTTATGGTATATATATATATATAAATCAATTTTTTAATGTTACATTGACCATTATCCTTAAAAGGAAATTTTGCAACTAAGGAAATAGAAGGCAAAAATTGCATAACTTTAAAGCCCATAAACTTTTTTATTATTAACAAAATTAGAAAAGGCTCTCTATACCAATGAACTAGAGGACATCATGCTATACTATATTCAAAAATAGCAATAAAAAAATTTTTTTCATGGACTAGCTACATTACGAAAATAGTGTTTTTCAAAGAATAATGAGAGTACATAAGATACGTGGAACATATGATATAGATTTTGCTGAGCAAGCATTCCTAAATGAATATTTCAGATTCAGGTAATTAATTAATTAAGATTACATACATATTTTATATATATGTATAATATTACCTACCTAATCATCATGTGATATTTACATTCAAATTCTAGAGGTTTGCAATTGCCACAAATATATAATACTAATATATCAATGATGAATGCGTATCCACATTTATGGAAGATGTTATTGAATGACATGAAAGTTGTACATTACACTTCACGAAAACCATTCATCAAACCAAATCCAGGAATATTCAAAGAACCTTATGATCTATGGAATCAATTATATCAAGAAATGGATGCTAATATAAATTTAAAAAGAATAGAAAAAGATTGTCGTGTTGTTAACAATTATTTTTGAACAAGTAACTTTATTTTGTAATGTTTATATTAACAATATAAATAATATGTAATTTTAAATAATATGTAATTTTAAATAAATAAGGTTTTTATTAAATTCCTATTAATAGATTTGAAAAAGTTTATTTTCAATATTACGTATCATTACTATTTTTACAAAATGAAGCATCTAGGCAACATTCTTCATTGGTGTTTCTATTTCAGGCACATTCGAAAGCTATAAAAAAAAAAAAAAAAAACAAATCAATTAATTAATCACATACATACATATATGTATGTATCTTGCACACACTGTATAATATTAATATACAAATATGTATGACACGATATACATACATTCATTCCTTCTAATTCAGCAAGCTCGGCATTTGATGTATCTATTGATGTGGGAGTTTCTTGTAGATATGATGGTTCTTCTTCTTCCTCGAACATTAATTCATCTCCCAATGCATCCAATTCTAAATAAATATAATTCAATTGATTGATTAATTTATGAAAAAAAAAACCCCCCAATTCTACAAAATAATATTTTCCAAGATAATCTCCAAACCTGCTTCTAATTCATTTTCATCAATATCTTCAGGAAGCCCATACGTTCTACCAAGTGTTTCTTGTATATCATTAGCTTGCTCAAAAAGATCTTCCATGTCATCTTGAATATTCTTATAATTATTATCAGTATTATGGATATGAACATTATTAGTAAATTGAATTATAATAATATCTTCGATCGATCAATCAATCAACTCCTCGTGAAATTAATCGGTACCTCGATTTTATTAATATCAATCTTTTTGTATTGCTTTTGCATCTCTTTATTGGCGGTTTGCATCGCATCAACGGTGGTCATCACATTACGTAGATTATCTGTGGTGAATGACGCTTGCTCCATATTAAATGATTGTTGTTGAAGTTGATCTCGTTGTGATTCATACAATTTTTTTTGTTTAAGAACTCTTAACGCCTTGCTCTTGACCGTATTCTATCAATCAACCAATCAAATGATTATAAATTATTATGTGGAATATTATAAAATTTGATGCATTTCTAATTCTCCCAAACGTTAAAATTAATTCAAAAAAGAAAAAAAATGTCAATTTTAATGCCTGTCATACTTTTGCAGGCCCATCCTTCATCTTCTTCATTTGATCTTTGTATTTGACAAGTTCTGCATCCAATTTTTTTATCTTTACCTCCACTGCATCAACTCTTGAATCTGTCTATTTTATTATATATGCAACATACAATATACGTTATAATGATAATAAACATATAGTATATTAATTAATGGTAACGATGAGTAAAATTACTACCGATGCTATCGCATCACTTAAGTTTGGCTTGGGTGTTTTCTTTGATGTACCAAAAAAACGATTCATATTTATTATTATTATTATTATTATTTATTGTGTGAATTGATTGACCTTGATGTATGCGAACAATTTAATTTAATTGGTTGAA